AGTGAATCATCTTCCGAGGCGTGTGGTTCTCCAAGGGATAAGGCTGCTACTTTCTGTTTTTTCAGTAAGTATTTTTCTGTTTGCTACTACTTGTTTGGTAATTTGGTTTGCAAGCTTAAGCTCTTGAAACTGATGAAATCTGGCACCAGGGGTGCTTGCCCTGAAAAGAGTCTTTCTTCTGAAAGGGTAGGCTGAGATGAGACCCTCACGACCTGATCAGGATAATTCCTGCGAAGGGAGTGTGCCGACGCTGTATTTTATTTTCCTGTGCAGGTTTTATGATGATCGCACAGAATCAAGCTTGTGGACCGTATCTCAGATATCCGACTTGAAGTGACTCTTATCGAGGATGATAATGGGAAAACCGAGCGCGTCCAACACTACCATCTTCAATGGTGTGAGCGACCCGGCATTTCCTTCCCGAATTTATTTTGTGTTTGGACTTCGTAAAAACTTAGAGCTAAGAATATTGTTTACTTTATTCTATTTTAAATTAGTATTGGCAAGGTTTAAACACGACACGTTCTTTTTGGGAGACTGATGTCCTAAATGACTAGTTTAAGCTGTTTTTCTGAGCTTGTGACCAGAACAAAGGGTACTTAAAAGAGCAGATTTTTGCATACTAAAAGTCCTTGTTGAGTGGACCCTTCGGCATCGATTCTACACCGGTTTACCTCTACCCTCATAGCCATCATCTCAGTAACAGGGTTCCTACAATAAAATATCATACCATGTAATTAAACAAACCCCGCATTCTCGTGGACTTGGCCGCGCGGGACGCGTGGATGACGCGCGGTACATTCTTGCCCCGTGCGACATGGACGCGCTGTGGAGGTGGCCGTGGATATAATAACTATAGACAACTCAAGTAGAAGACCGGAATTCATTTATTTGCTGCAAAGAGATTGATTGATGACGGGCAGAACGTAATGCTGAAAGTTCCTCCGGTTCCAGTAGCAAAAGTCTTGGTGTCGTCACCAGACCAGCTATAAGCATCCGGGCATGAGGCACGGACGTTCCGCGCGTACTGCGAGTTTGGATCGTTCCTGTTGGGACTGGCGCAAGTATTCCCATTCCTGTTCTGGGGAGGACAAGTTCCAGCATCCGCTCGGCAAGTCAGACCCCTGCCAGATCCAGTGATGCTCATCCCAGTGCCGATGAAGAAGCCATCCACGGCGCTGATGTCGTAGAAATCAAGGTTGCTGTTGCTGTTGATCGAGAACTCGGCCAGGAGGCCAGGAGTTCCAGTGCCGATGTTTCCCGCCCAGCGATTCGGAGGACTTAGTCGGCGAGATGCGCCGGGGGAGAGAGTGAATCCGGAGGTTCCAATCGAGGGGCCTCCGGCGTTCTCGCGGACGATGATGTTAAGCGAGCCCCCGCAGCGATTCACAACGTTGAAGGAAGTGGCTGCTGCGACTGA